ACTCCCATCCAAAGGAGAGTTAGGGATGGATAGTAGTACTTTGTTATTCTATTCAGATCACAAGTGCATTGTCCTCTTGTTCTCTTTTCATGCACAGCAGTTACAATTGGGAAGTTGCTAGCAAGAAATTAATTTTGGGAACTTTCAGTATGGCAAAGGCCAGGTATGGACTATCTGGTTTAGAAATAATTCTTCGTAGCATTAAATAATGGTGATGGTCTGGTCACAATGTTTCTTGAGGATAGGAAAAAAAAAGAGCTCAGCATTTCAGGATTTGGTTTGTGTTTGCTGGTTTTCTTAGTCTAGCAAATAATTGCTTCTTTTGTTTATCTTCTAGTATATTTATATAATTTCTTCTTTGTATTTCCTGCCTCATAGTAGCTCTGTTTTAGCTGGCATGGTTAGCTGATTGATTTCTTGTATATCTTCCCAAGCTATTTGTTTTCACTAGTGATTTCTTTCCACTTTTAAAGCTCTAGAATATATCTTTAATACTAAATTAGTCATGCTGTTAATTTTTTTTTTTCCTATATTGAAAAATTGCCACCTTGCCTTACTTCTCTTAACTGCTGTTCTACCCCTCACTATTAAGTTACTTTTGTAATTGTTGTGACTAGACTCCAGCAACTAAAGTTTTTATAGGGCTGAAAATTATTTTTTTGGGAGCTTCCTGTGATGCTGGAGGATGCTTTTTCCAAAGATTTGAGGTCACTTTCACTTAATCTCTTAAGACTTTAATATGCTGTTGGTCTATGCTTCTGTCAAGAGATTCTGGTTTGCTAGGCAAATAGTTAAGGTTTTTTTAAAGTAGTCTTCAAGGTTATATTTCTTCTACAATACCCAGAATATCATGTTATTTATGTTGTGTTACTCTTGTGTATGTTCAGATCTTTGTTAAAGTGGTAAACTTTGGCTGCAGTCCCTTGAGTCCAATCCATTCATAGTGTGTATCTTTAGCTTTGGAAGGAAGCTCTGAGCATGCATCTTCCCCCTGTTTGTTTATCTAGCTAATAATAAGCTGCCAGGATACTTAAACAGCTTCATGGCTGGCACCCAAACCTTCACCCAGTGAAGGATTTTGCCTTAGCTTTCACTGGAGAGAATTCAGATTTAGAATAAATGTAACACTAAACTTGAACACTTCCAGTTCAATCTGGATGAAAGCTGACTTTCCCCTGTGGTTAATTTATGACTGAAAATGTTAAAACAGATCTTAGGGGATTGATGACCACACTGCATTATAAATGCTCAGTCTCCTTAAATGTGGCAATACAAACCCCTTTACAATTTAGATGGTGAAAAAGATGTGATTAGTAACCAGTGAATTTAAGTGTAGTCAATTGCATGGAGATTGTTAATATTTTGCAACCTGTGAACAACAAATATCCAGGTATATAAACAACCACTAGGTTGGTAATCGTAGTGCTAAAATATATTAGGCTAACAATGGGATTGACTCGGAACAGTGAAGTAATATTATGAGAAAGCAATGCAGAATATTCAAAATACTGAACCTGGTTTGCTGGTTAAGTTATGATGGATTCTGAGTTCCATTTGAATAAAGGAGGGAAATACACAACTCTTTCCAAAATGGAGTTTAGAACTGTCATGGTTTTAAAGCAGTAACTAAAAAAATTACTCTTTTCTTTCTGTGAGATATGGATTAGAACAAGAGCAAAACAGGCTTAAAACTTAAAAAGGAATAAAGAAAGTTTATTAACAAACTACAAGAATAAGAACACCAGAATAAACTTCCAGAAAACCCTTTTTATCCCCGACTACCCACCATTCTCTTGTTCACATGACAACAGAGACAAAAACTTTGGAACTTCGGTGTTTAAAACAGCCCCAATTCTTGCTAGTCTTTTCACCAGTCTTTGTAGAGAAACAGAAGTCTCTTTCTGCTAATCTATGGAGTTTCTCACAAGAAAAACTATTTCTATTATAGCTTTCTATTTCTCTGATGCCAGCTGCCCGGAAATCCAGTCATCAAAATTCACTCCTCCCATTTCACATCACTCTGAGGTGTGTATGGGCCATGAGTCTAGGGATGGCATTTTAAGGATGAGTTATTCAAAGGCAAAAGTACTCTTCATCTGTCTTTGTGAGCTCTACTAGAAAAGTTTTCTCATTGGCCCCCAAGTCTTCAAATTTTCGCTTCACTCTGTTCCAGCACTTCACTGTATCACAATTACTCTACTTTTTACTCAAAATCCACACTTTGAACACTCTATTGCTCCCTATATACTCTGTCATGAATTAAAGGAGTTTTTTCAAGACTTTATTGTCCATCTCCATAGCTTTAGCAGAAAAATATTTCAGCTTATAAAGCATCTCCTTATTCTCTACCTTTTCTTTACTGTCTCTGATAGTTTATAAAGTCTCTTTACATGTTGATTACTCTCTTTTTCTCTCTCTGGATAAAAGGATTAATCTGCAAGTCTCATCTGGGTAATGAAAAATCTTGCCCAGGCTTTGTTCTGTGATCTCTGCTGGAGCAGTGGCTGGAGTTGTCTGCGATGGAAGATTCTTCATGGCTGCTCTGGAGAGTGTGGTCGCTGTCTCAGCTCACCGCAGGTCAAGAGCTTTTTTTTCCTTTCTTTACTTGGCAGTCTCTGGTGAATTCAGTCACAGCAAAAACTGCAGCCGAGCCAGGGACCAGCCTGGCCCAGCCAGAGCCCCCAGGGTAAGCCCCGCAGGCCCCATCTCCTGGCTGGGAGCCGCTGGGCCCAGCCCAGCCCCCGCCCAGCCGCATGGCCGGGCCGGAAACGGGAGGCCTGGAGCTCTGTTACCTTTCACAGCCAGAAAACAAAGAGAGCAAGAAATTCTCAGGCTTAGGTCTTAAGGTGGTGTTCACAGGTTGATTTTACTTTTCAATGGTCAAAACTGCTGTCAGTTCTTAGAAATGACGGATAATTGGTCAGGAGAAAAGACTCCCATCAGTCACCAGCAGTTTCAACTTCCTTAGCTCCCAAAACCACCTTCAGTCACCAGCAGTTTCAACTTCCTTAGCTCCCAAAACCACCTTAAAGGTAAAGCCACCCCATGACAAGAACATTTCTTTCTTTGTACTGAGGCTCATTCAGCAGGTTCAGGAGCTCCAGGCGTTTTAGGTTCCAGACTGGTGCTTTTTTAGGTTAGCTCTGCATGTGACAGTCCATCATCTTAATGACATAATACAGCCACATCAAATAAGACTGTGAATGTAGCAGCAAATGGGAGTGCATCACCTGGTTGAAAGGGATGAAAATAGAATGCACTTGAGGTGAGGAGATACTATTCCTTACCTCAAGTAAGGCCAGTTCAGCCTAACCCGAAACACAATCTGCCTTGCAATTCAACCTTCCTGACCTTCCACATTTTGGTCTGGAACGGTTATCTGTTGCCAGAGTTGGATTCCTCTCCTACTCTAACACCTCAGTCTTTCATCTCAAGTTCCAGGCATGCTGCTGTTGTGTACTGCATGCCCAGTTTTTTGTTGACTTCCCGGTGGCCAAGGTTTATGCCAGGTTAGTTGATTTAGTCTTCCTGAAAGACAGTGAGTGACAGCCAGATTTGCTCAATGCAGTTGGATAGTCTGGTCATGCCAACCACACCATGTCTGACTCTTGCCTTGTCAATTCCTTTCTTGTTCTCCCACTTCCGAAAGAAATAAATATCTTCATAACAAGTTGCAATAAAGAAGCAGGAGGTGAGGACAGGACTGGATACTAAATTAAAACCAAGAAAGCAGGTGTTTTGTTATCATTTACTTTCTAACAGTGTGTGATAAACTGAAAAAGAATCCAATTCATACAAATTGTATTTCACTAGTACTTTTTTATAATTTCCTTTTCTTAATTGAACAAGGATATTTACTGGGGGGTTTTAATACAGTGTTACTTTATACAATGGCTATGAATGGGTGAATAGGGAAAAATATTATATGGGATAAAACAGTGCCGTCCAGTAAAAGAAATCTCTGATGTAGTGGTGAAAGAGTTGTTATATTTTTGTGTAATCAGGAAAATGGCCTTATTTAAAGTAGGAGGGATGAAAACGGAGTAGGAATGACCGGGTCTTTCCTTTTACACTGTTATTAACTAAACTTGTGTATGGCAAGGTACAGATAATAAATAGCTAACGCTTCTATCTTAAGAGAATTTGGAGATGCTAAGAGTGGAATAGCTTGGAATAGTAAGAGTTGCCATACTCATAACTGTAATGGTGATATTTGAAAAAAAAATTCCAACAAAATAGCAGCATTTCCTAAAGATGGCTGTGATAAAGGTATATCCATTTAAAACGTGAAAACTCCACTAGTTACAAGTTAATGTATCTAAAACTGTAAAGGAGAAGGAACTGAAGGTCACTTAAATTTTCACAGAAACTTACCGGATTTGTTTACATGAAGAATATTGATGTGTACTAAAACTTGGCCTCACCACCCCCATAAAATGTATTTGAGAGTCAATATCCTGAAAATAGAGTGGTAGCAGAGTCTAATGCTAGTGAAATGTGACAGGTATGCAATCTAGAATGTGGATGTTAATGTTTATAAAGCTATTTAAGAAAAAAAAAGTATCCTGACAATTTTTTTTCTAATTTTTTGATATAATTTGTATTTCTAATGTAATGTTTTGGTAAAACATGATTTAAAGCAGTGTTTCAGTGTAGTAACATTAGCTTTATTTCTGCTATGGCTTTCCATCTTAACGTTTAAATTTTTGGATTCTTGAAATACAGTAACTTAGATTAATGCAAAAAAAATTATTTCTTGATTATGTGAGCCATTCTGAAAGCCTGTCTGAAGCTTTTTCTGTCATTGCGTTCATTTTCCCAGTGTAATAGGCTTCCCGCTAAAGGACAAAAGAGTTTAAAAGGATTGCTGGCTAATAAGCCTTATCCTTTGGTGAGGTGGTTCATTGAAGCTAGACAGTGAGTGTTTTGTGACAGAAGGGAAAGCTGAGGGGGATGGGAGGAGGAGGAAGCTAGAAAATAACCACGACTGGCCTCTCTGCATTCCTCTAGGGCTTGCCTTTTTTAAAATTGGAAGCTGCTTTTATAGATGCTCCTCCAAACACGGTTTTCATTTTCCGTACTGTCCCATTTAGACTTTGGAATGCCTGGATGAAAGGACAGGCCCCCAAGTGACTTCCCAATCTGTTTTTGCAATTCCAGCCAAGTTCCCTTTAATGTATGGAGCGAGCGAAGTTGAGCTGACTCTTATAATATCACAGAACTCGGGTGCAGCTGCTGCTTTAAACAGCACTGTGTGATAATACAACAACTCTGCTATTTACTGGGACTCAAGTGCCTGGACTGGCACACAGAGACATTATATGAAATCCGAAAGCATGAGGATAAAGGAGATTTCTTTGCGACAAGACCCTGATCTAAGAAAGGAGTTGGCATTGCTAGCTCGAGGATGTGATTTTGTTTTACCTTCTAGATTCAAGAAGAGACTGAGAGCTTTTCAGCAGGTTCAGGTTTGTCTTTCTGTTCTTATGCAATTTATTATTGTCAACTGTACCTTCGCAACCACTCAAACTGCAGGCTGTTACTAAACTAGCAGCGTTTTGATAGTCTGTTCCATGTATGACGAGTTCTTCAGTGTTTTAAAAGACTGTGCAGGTAGTTTTGTGCGAAGAAAATGAGTCTGCTGAAGCACATAGCACAGCTAAAGTACAATGTTTGTACATAGGTATATGCAGTGAAAAGTTGGTGCATTTAATGCTATTATACTTTTAAAGACTGTTTTCCTTAATCTGCGTAGTTGTAATATACATGCATTTCCCCAGAGGGTTTAATTTACCTTTTACCAGATCTGGGCATATAAAGTATACTGATACAGGCTGTAACTTTACTAGCTCAAACATAATATCTAAAAAGTGCTTTCATACTTTTATTATGATCCTGAATTCCTTTAGATTGTTTATTTTGAACTTTTTTATTTGGATGAGATCAGTTGTTGCTCTTTGATCCACATGTACTTTTGCTGTTTTGTAGTATTGAGTTAAATCTACAGTTTTAAAGTGTTATTAAAATTGAGAATAGAAGTATTTGAGAAGTAAAATCAGAAGGAAAACTACTTTTAGAGTTAATGTTCCAAGAGATTTGTTATCTCATGGAGTGAGAAAAAGTGTACAACTTTTTTTGAGATACTGAAATTTGGTATTTCTTTAAATACCCTTTAAGACATACGGTGATATCTGAAAGCATTCACTTTGACCTTACCTCACCCTCACTTCTGATTCATATACTAAAGGTGCGTCAGTGAAGGCATGTGTGAATTTTTTTACCCTTTTTTAAGGAAAATTTTTCAGTTGAATAAAAATTACATTAACTTAGAATTTCTGACATTATTAGTAATTCTAAATATAGCCTGCTACTTAATTTTGAATTCAGTGCACTAGTGTCCCTGTCAGGTGACCTTCAAGAGAGGAACATAGAGCCCTATGACCCTAAGAATGTACTAGCCTTCTATCTGTTTATTTAAAATTGGTTTCAATTGGTATTTGTAAGCAATGTTTATTCCTTTGTGTAAAGCAGAGCGTTGACTGTGCTGGTTTATACCATTCAGCACAGACATGTGAGTGAAAGGATTTTTGACTTGTCTTCTGTGCTAAACTGGAGAGAGGTGAGAGAACTTGTTGACTAGAGACAACAAGAAAAGAAAATACTATCTTAATTGCCTAAATTAGTAGTAGCAGGTAATATTTAGGCAGCTCAGAGGAGGAGGCAAGTTTAGTCTAGTCATGGCATCCTGTTGTAAACAAACACAGCATTACCTTGTGTGGTGCCCCTTAACTTGATCTGTCTTTCATCGAGTGATAGTTGGATCACTTGTACTTTTACAGGGCCTTTTTATGTTGACCTAGAAAACATCTCAGTGTAGCATGGTTAAGCATACCTCCAAGCTACTAACTACTTTAGAAAACAGCTTGTCTAATCTGTAGGGGTTTTTTGTTTTAGGATGCTGCTGGCTATAAACTTGGAGTGGAGACAATGAGCAAACACTTTGCATTTTTAACCTTGTCTTGCACTTCCTGGGCAAATGGCAACTGTAGGATAATGTATGATAAATGACTTAATTATATTGCAAAATTCTTTAGGCAAAACAGAATTAACAGGAGTATAAAACTAGAATGTAAGGTCTGTCATTGCTCAGTTTGATATAAAGTATTTTATCCGAAGTTCCTTTTATAAGTGCTAGTTTGCTTCGACTTCATGATTTTAAGGAGACCTTTTGGAACTATCATCAAAAACTAAATATGGGTGCTAGTAACTTGGTACAGAAGATGGGTATTCTTTACCTGCCATTTTATGTTAATGTTAATTCCAACTTATCTTTCTGGGTTCTAGGTCAATTTCAAAGAATAGTTCTTTATTTGCTACATAATTGTTGAAAAAATTTTATGTTAAAATTAAGACTGCTTAGAAATTTTGTAGAATAACTTGAAACGAAACTTCATCATTTCAGTTGCTGAGCTTTGTTGCTTTTGGATTTTCCACCTCCTATTCCACTGTATAGGCTTTCAGACAGAATAATTCATTAATGTGATGTAAAATTAGAATCCTAAAGTCAAGCAGAAATGGAAGCCAATCTCTTCTTCCATATTTCTAGCACAACCTTATAATTTTATAATTTGTTAAACAAATGACAGATTCTCTTTAAGACATCTGTGCTATTAAAACTGGCATCTTAAAATAAAAAATTAGTAATGGTGGTGGATGGTGAAGTAACATGTGGCTCAGAATCTGCTCTGAGGCAGGTTGGAATGACTGGGTCTTCCACAGGTTCCAAGAATTCTAAGGCAGTGGCTTTTCATATAGGGCCATGTAAGTAAATAATCTGTGTAGGTAATCCCCTGTGGTTTAGATGGGGTGATCATTAGAGCACAGCACATCAAGTTTCTTGAAAATCTTTAAATAGACCACCAGTAGTGAGGTGGGTTGTTCTGGAAAGTGGTGGCATAGGCAGTTCTTCAGTTTTCATTTATTGATGAAAATTGAAAAAACCTGAGCAAAGTAGGGCTTTGTGGAAAGATCTATTTCTTAAAAGAAAGGTGAAACAATACATAACTGTTGAAATGTTCTCTATTACCTTGGGGAGCTAAATTTCTTAGTAGGTATCTCGGCATAAAGTGAAGTGAAACTTCAGTCCATCTTACTCTCATGTTGATTCTAAGACCAAGATCTTTTTTAAGTGCTTAACACCTACAGGGTATATTGAACTGGGAATGCAGCACTTGAAGAGTCACTGTGTCCACCTTGCTTGTCAATTTATCTGAAACTTTGGAGGGAGAAGAAACTATCACCTTGTCAAATGTCCAGGAAACTTAAAGAATATGAAAGGCTGAGTATTATGTTTTAGCCAACATCTGGTGACATCCCCACCTGTCAAAATATGAATATAAGCTGCACCATTATGCATGCTATATGAGGAAAATACACCTGAAGTTTGAAACAAAAATAGAATAAAATACAAATATGCTTATACATTTGTAACTCAGTGTTAGCTAAACTAGGAAAATCAGTATTTTTTGCTACTTAGAGGCTGCATCACCTTACTAAACTGTGGAGTTCTAACTTTAAAACTAGACTTTTTAAAAAGTCAAATTCATGCTGAATGTAAGGATTTTTAAAAAGGAGCTTAAAAAAAAAACTGGCTGAAGTTTTTAATTAATCTTCTCAATGTTAGTGACAGACCTGTGCTGGCATATTTTTTGATACTTTTAATGAATTATACCTTTATCTGCTGTGCCTACTGGGTGATTCCTTGGTGTAGTTGTATGCGTCACAACTCTGTGAAAACGGAGAACTACTCATTTCATGACCACCTGTTAATGATACTAAATGCTGCTTACAAATGCTATTTATGTCAGCTGTATGAAAACTATTTCTTCAGCTTCTGCAGTGCCTCACGAGATTGGCTTGCCTTCCGAGTGAAGTAACTTTAGACTTTAGTGCCTCTTGATCATTTTTACATTCCTTGTTACCAAAATGCTACATAAAAGCTTGTGGCATATTCAAGATAGCAATGAACACAGTCTGTAGGTACTAATATGTGCTGGGCTGGTGTATGTTTGTGATGTAGTGCACACAGTGATTATTTTAGTCATGAAGATAGCAGTCTCATTTCTGAGGTAAAACTACTCTCAAAAAATTTGAGGCTGTTGCATTTACAGCTACAGTCTCAGAAGAAGGTTTTGTAACAATTAGAGGCTTTGGGCACAGCAGCTTTCCTGTTAACATCTGTTTTCTAATTTAACATCATTTGTAGACCTTTTAACACCACAGTGGGAGGAACAAATATTCATTTTTACATAATACTTTTACATCAGGCACACAAATGCCTTATTAAAGAATACAAGTGTTTTCTGAGAGGGCCAGAGATGGAATACAAATCTCATTCTGACTGTAGCTAATACATATGCTTGATGATACAATGCCGGTTTTCCAGGGCAGATGCCAACATTTAAAACAGAATGAAAATATATAAGCTGCCCACTGAGACTTACTAGTTAAGATGAGGTTTTCCAAAAATGGTTCACTGCTAGTGGATTGCCAGGTTTTAAGCTCTAGTCTCTTAAAAAGAAACTGCAAGCAAGCTGGTAGATTTTTACCACTTCTGTAATGGAGACTCTTGGTTCAAAAATAAAATGTATTGGCTGCCTATCATAGCAGTTTCTTTACCTGCTCATGTCTGGTGATATATCTAATTTTTAAATTATTATTACAGGAAATGTGTGCTGTTTCTATAGAAAAGTCAATATGGTGAAAGTTTGTTATAACTTAATTTCATGCATTATTTAGGAGTTAAGATGTCAGTTTGCTCTGCAGCTAAGTTTTGTGGTGCAGAAATTCATACATTGAAGAGTTCAGATATACTCATTTTTCCCTTGGAATAAAAGAGTCAATATTCTTTTCTCCATTTTTACTACCACTACTAATAGTAGATGTTGTGTGTCTGTTGGTTGTAGTTCTAGAAAGCCTGAAACAGTTCAGCATCCAGCATATCTTGATATAAAATGTCCTTCAACTTTTACAAGGCAAGAGATTGTTTTCACAATTGTCCAAATCAGAATTTTCAGGGCATCAGCAGACAAGCAGTTGACAGAATACTTGCTCCCGTTGTTGACTTTGTAGTCCCGTAGCAAGGCTGAACTTGGTGACATTTCTTGTTTGAGAGGATTCTTCTTGAAGTCAATTGCATCTAGTGATTGAAACTTGCTTTGTTGCAAACATGTAAGGATAAAAAGCTATTGCAGAGTTTAAGTGGATGTCTGTCTTAGCTGTATGTGTTACTTTTGATGTTGAGCTGATGGCCTGTCCTGACAAGGGCTGTTTTCTGTAGACAAATGTTAGAATTGCCTCGGGTGTACCTGTCAGTCCCTTGGCTGTGTACAATCAAAATAATCATGTACTAGGAGGAACTTACCAGCTTGTGCCCTGGAAACATTTGGGGAACAGCATACACTGGGAA